TGGTAGCTATTCAGTAAATTATAATTTTTATCTGATAATTTCCTGTAAGATAGGACAATTGATTTAGTATTCCACAAATATTAAGCTAATTACAATCTGGGCTTCTTCAGATAATATTTTATTCTTTTCCAAATACCTGTCTAGTGTATCTGTTGATGAATGTGATAATATGAATAGAATTAATGCATTATATTAATATTCCCAAACAGACTGATCCATATTCTGCTAAGTACAAAAAGATCATTTTTGTTTGCATAAAAGGAATAAAATTATGACTAGAACAGACCTAAATCTCCTGTCTTTGGGAGCTCATAAAATGGGGTCGTAAGAGTTTTGACACTGTTTTCTGTGTGATTCACCCAAACTTGGTTATAAAATACTACTTTTATAAAATTTTGTAACCTGAGAATGTGGTGCAGTGGTCAAGTGCTTGAAGGTAAATGTGTAAGATAGAACCTTACTGACCACATTCTACAAGACAGGATAAATTCAATTTGATGAGAATAAACTCAAATGGGAGAAAAATAAAAATCAACTATAGTAAAAAAAATGATGTGAATTAGATAACACAAAATTGCATCTTTGTCATTAGGTAGCTAGGTTTTTTTTTTTCCCGAGTGGAAGTATTTCTTTATATACTTTTGGTTTTTCACTTAAAGAGAATATCAAAGATCTATACATTTTGCTTCTTCATAAACATATGGATTTCTTATGGAATCTTAAAGCCTCCCTAAATGTTTAATCATAGTTTGACAAGTAATTCATGTGTAAATCTAATAATTTCTTTTATAATTGTGATTCTTTTTACTTTTTTTTTTTTTTTAGTAGTGCTTTGTTTCTACTTTACTGGTTATTTGTAACTTATTTTTGCTTAATTTATGTTACCAAGTTTTTCAGTTTTATTCATTCAAAAGAACTGTCTTTGGTTCTATTTTGTTTTTATTTAGTTTAACTTCTTTTGGTTTTTTTGTGATTTTTCCAACTATTTCTGTTCTGAACCATAATCAACATTTTAAGCTCTAATTTTCCCTGAAAGTGATGATTCTGTTACAGCCTAAAAATTTTGGTAGAATATATGCTTATTATTTAGATCTGAGTATTAGTAAGCAATTAAACTATTATATTTTAGAAAGGAATTTCAAGTCTAGGGTCCATAAGAAAAAGTTTAACAGAGTATAGGGAAATAGTTTATTTTCAGTTTTTAAAAATATCAATAATACCTAACTATCAAATTGGATTTAGTTTTGGAAATACATGTCCTTAGTTTTTATATGTGAGCAGGTAAGTGAATAAACTATTAGTAATTTAATTAAAATTTGCAAACAAAACAAGTCCATGATAAAAATAGTGTTGCGGTACTTTGTATTGAGAATTGATTTTCAGAATGATTTCAGGATACTACACAATTTCAGTATTATAATAATAGACTGGCTTAGTTACAGTTATTCTTTGTGATGAGGAAGGAGGTTATTTTTAGAAAGCTTTGTGCAAAGTTGAAACATTTCATTATTTAGGAAATCCACTTAAATGAAATAAATTCTATCACCCATGCATCCTTCTAGTTTGGTCTCCCCTTCCCCCCTTAGTACTTACTGGTCGGATGCATACTACAATCTATTGGATTATTTAGACAATTTGTGACTTCAGAAATGAGGATTTAGACAACTTTTCCAAACAATCATTGAGACAAAAGTATTAGAAAACTAGTAAATCCTTAGAAGTTTGGAGCAGATTTTTTAGGTGAAGAACATACCGTGAAAGTGGATTTAAATCTGTAAATATAGAAAGGAATCTTTCTTTGAGTTTCTCATTTACTCTCAGGAAAATCATCTTGGCTTATTGCCTGTCCCTTTGTAGTAAGGTAGTATAAACTTCTTGTGCTGAGAAAGTGCTTGCTGAGCAGGAGTTTATGGAGCCCTGATAAGTTCCTTTCTTTGAAAGCCTTCTTGGGGAGAACTAAGTAGTGGATAAATGAAACTGTCTGAGTTCCAAATTCAATGAGTATTGCCATAATTAATTTAATATTATTTTTCCTATATTAAGAAAACATTAAATATTAATATGAATGATTTAAATTTATATTTAATGGCTATGTAATGAAAAATATGTTTGCACAAAGGACTGCTAATATATTTTTATATTCTTTTTTTGAATGATTAAAGTGCTTTATGCAAAGGGACTTTTTTGAAATTTCTGTTTTTTTAAAAATCATAGAACATATTAAAAATATAATGACATTGGAAGAGTCTGTTCAACATGTGGTCATGACTGCTATTCAAGAGGTGAGTTATATCATGTTCATGTAAGCAAGAACATCTTTAGCCAAACTGCATAGTATGTGTCATATAAATTTTGTCTTCATATGAACTGTTCTTTGTAGTAGGTTTACTTGTTTTTAGCTAGCAAGTCTTTTTCCCTTTAAAAAATGTCTTGAAAGACTGTTTAGCTAAATTTTAGTACCGCTAGTTCTAAAGCTTTTGATGACTTACTATTGTCAAATTCCTTTAACTCATTTCAACTAATCAAGAAAAACAAGTTAAACAGTCTTCAGGCAGATAAGAGTTTGAGTTTTTCCTCTTTCTTTTCTATTCATGACAGAAGTCATTCCTGAGATTGTAGTTTATATATACCATTTGTATTTTCAGAATGTGGGATTTCTGAAGAGATATGCTGGTACTTCAGTTGTATAGCCTAGTAGCCTGAATTTAAGCTATTCTGCTTATCTCTGGAGAGATACAAAGATTCAGAATTCATAATAATACATTGCTGATTCTTAATATCAGGCTAAGACTCTTAGATGTGAAATGCAGCGGAGATAATGAGAAAATGGGATGTTTTCACGAATATGCTTCAGTCGTCGTCGTCGTCATCTTCTTTGTCGTCGTCTTCTTCTTCTTCTTCTTCTTCTTCTTCTTCTTCTTCTTCTTCTTCTTCTTCTTCTTTCTTCTTCTTCTTTCTTCTTCCTCCTCCTCCTCCTTCTCCTCCTCCTCCTCTTCCTCTTCTTCTTCCTCTTGTTACTCTTCCTCTTCCTCCTCTTCTTCCTGTTCCCCTTCTTTCTCCTCTTCCTCTTCCTCCTCCTCCTGTTCTTCCTCCTCCCCTCCTTCTGCTCCTGATGAGTTTGAGACCAGCCTGGGCTGCAAAGTGAGCTCAGGCCAGCTTGAACTGCATAGGGAAACCCTGTCTCAAAAAGACAAAAAAATAAAGGAACAAAGGAAGGAGATGTTTTCTTTGGCTCATGTTCCATAATCTTAATGTCCTAATAAGCTCAAAGACTGTTATTTAGTTAAATCACTAATAAAATTTTTATTTGAATAATATCCTGAGGATCATCATATGAAGGCAAGGAAAAGCTACGATTTTACCGTTTTTGTAAGGAAATGTGTTTTTGCTTTGTAAGCATCACTTAACTTACTGTACTTAATTTTGCTATTTTAACTTCCCAGTTGATGAGTAAGGAAATAGTGAGCTCTCCTACAAATGATGCTGTTGGAGAATTAGAGCAACAGGTGAGTATTTCAGTATGTGAGAACTGTGTGGAAAATAATAATATGGTTCTTCTATCAGCTACTCCATCAGGGCGGCTGGGGAGATAGCTCAGTAGAATAAATGCTTGCCTGGCAAGTGTAAGGTCCTGTGTTCAATCCCCAGTGCCATAAACAAACAAACAAAACAAAAACCCCTACTCCATCAGGCTTACATGGGACAATGTGTACAGCTGGTGATCTCCATTTTTTTTTTTATTATGTACCAAGAGTTGATAGCATTTCAACGTTTCTTTTGATATTTGGTCTATATCAGGTGACTATACAAATAGTCAAATAATAAAAAATCTAAAAATGGTTCTAAGTTTTAATTATAGTTTTACTAATAAGGCAATATTTTATCATTGCTACTATTCTCTTATGTCATATTGAAGAAACAGCTTAGTACTTAAGAATTCTATTATGAGACTATTTTTGATGCAGAGAAATTCACTCATATACAACTCAGTTTGGTTGTAAGGGAAAGGGCAACTTTCCCTTACAAGGAGAGAAAATTGCAACTTTATACATCTGGTTATTTTATTTTTAGATATCTTTTTTGTCATGAGTATGACTAGTCACCTTAAGTATTTCAAAATATTTTTGATTAAAATTTTATTTATTTTTATTATTTTTAATGTATTTGGTTGCTACAGGATCTTGCTACACAGCTTGGACTCATGGTGATCCTCCTGCTTTCAGCCTCCCCAGCACTGGGATTACAGGCAGGTGCCACCACACCCTGGGGGCAGGGCTGATGTGGCATGTGGTGCCAGGGATCCAACCACAGTCCCTGTGTTTGCCTAAGCTTTCCTATACAAGTGCTTTAGTCTGCTGAGCTATCTTCCAGTCCTAAAATTTTATTTAAATGCAAATATATTTTTCCATTATTTTACTGTGATGAAATTTTAAAAAATAATTCTGATCATTTGAAAATATTTGAAATTTAAAAAAAATACTTCTGATCATTTGAAAATATTTCACAATACATTTTATTCAATACATTTAAAATATTCGGGGCTGGCGAGATGGCTCAGTGGTCTAAAGCACCTACTTGGAACAAGCTTGGCTAAAGCACAGGGACCACAGTTCGATCCCCCAGCACCACATGCCAGCCAGCCTTGCCCCCTGGTGGGCTGAGCTGGCCACACACACACACACACACACACACACACATAATAAATAAATAAATGTTTAAAAAATAAATAAAATAAAATATTCAAATACATTTTATTTCTGTAGAACCTTAGCTTTAAATGTTAATGGGAGTATGGCAGTATTACACACATAATAAAATTAAGATTAATTTGTTAATAGGTAAATTTTAAAACTCATTTCTGGTATGTATGTGTATGTTTTCAGAAGAGTATATTTTTCTGTTTCTGCTAAAACATTTACTATGAATGACATTTTATATTTCAGCTTAAAAGGGCTTTGGAAGAACTTCAGGAAGCACAAACAGAGAAGGAAGAGCTGAAGCAGAGATGCGAAGAACTAGATATGCAGGTATAGACGAGAAAGTCTATGTGCGGACTATCTTCACTCTTGACTTATTGTCCTAACAGAATGAGAGGTTTCATTTTATGGAGAAGACATTCAAAGCATTTTTTTTCCAAAATTTTATTGACAAACAGCAATGAGACAGTTTCAAAGCAAATCGGAAGTACAGTTTCAACAAATAATACACTGCATATATTCTTCTTAGTGGTTAATTGCTGTACAAGATGCGGACTTGAGATCCTATTTACAAACACCATTACAACAAATCATTCTATTCATTAAGAGAATGAAACTATATATCTATCCTAACCACTTTGAATACACAGATACAAAATGGACATTCATCTGTATACCCTATTTTTTCTAAGTTCCATTATTGAATATTATAGGTGTGTAAACTCAGCAAAATATTCTAAAAGAGTCCAGTAGACCATAATAGCCTTGGATCTTCTGTTTAACTGGCAATGTCAGAAATTATTGACCTGAGTCCCCCACAGCTCAACATAACAGCATGGCTTTACTTCCTATATTTCGTCTTCATACTTTTCTACTGGATGGATAAGACCAAGGTAAAGCAGGACCTGTGCAATAAGAGTTGTAGCTTTTTGGTCTGAGAAGGTCAGTGAAATCCCCTCAGGATTTATCCTGAGATCCTGTACCTCAGATTGTAGAACCTTTGTCAGTGCAGCCATGTGGATGAGTCACGGCCATTGCTTGGCCAATGTGCTCTCTGTGAAAGCCTGAGAGAGGGTTTTCTCATTCAAAGCATTTGCTGGAATCTTCAGTATCTAAAAATGAATTTCATAAATAATTTTGCCTGAGTATTGAAAATTGCTGACCTCTTTCTTCGGGAAGATTGTGTTGATTGAGGGATTTCTGCTATTCTGATGAAGACTCAGTTTTGTCTCATACAATGGAAAAATTAGAATAGGTACTTTATAGTTGCTTATAAATATTAAATGAGAACTTTCTGGCTCATGTATGTGTATGTGAGTGTGTGTGTGCTAAGTTTGTTTGGCTAAAGTGAAAATGTGAATGGATATATTTATATATAAATTTATATTCATAAACATGGTGTGGGCAACAACAGTCAGTGTTTAAAGGCATAGACTGTCAAGCAGGCTCCCTGTAGTCATAACCTAGTTACTAGTTGTTTGCCTTCAGTCAGGCAAATGCATTTCTCTATACTTGAGCTTTCTCTTTTGAGGAAAGGAGTCATAATAATATTAACTTAGAATAGTTTTAAGGATTAAATGAGTTATATGCAAAGGATTCATATATGATCTGTCACAGAATGTTATATATATATATATATATTTATAATATATGTATGTGTGATATATATATTTGCGTATATCGTTATTCTATGAAAGTACACTTGATCTTAGCCAAAAGGCCAAGAAGCGATTCTATGAAAGTACAAATGTGAAATTTATGCTATAAGTCTTGGCAATGTCTACAAAAGAGTATAGAAAAAATTAATTGTACTGTCATTTTATGCCATATATAAATTACATTCTCTGTTCAAAAAATGAGCTAGCTTTCTGAATTGTAAAAGGATAAAGGAACCAGTGTTATTCTAGCTAGATGAAATAAATATCTAAAATATGATAAAGCTAGATAATATTTTTATTTTTATTTATTTATTTTGCAGTACCGGGGATTGAACTCAGGACCCTGCACTTGCTAGGCAAGTGCTTATTCTACTGAGCTATATCCTCAGGCCCAATATTTTTAATTCTAGTGACTTTTTTACATAAAGAATAATAGGGTGACTTGGTCACAATGGCTGACCACTTAGGTTAGTGACAGCAGCAGAAATTAAGTCTTCTTACTTTTGTCTTTAAAAATAACTTTTCTGTATTTGGATACTACAATTCTCTCAGATGTAGGGAAATTTTTCTCTGATCTCTTGTGCCTCTTTCCTACGTGCACTGTAGCATGCACACACACACACACACGCACACATGCACACACACACACATCCAAGGAACCTGAAATATGTTATTTTTCTAGTAGGATCAAATTCACTGTGAAGTACCTATCTTACAAAGAAGAGGGGATTGGTCCATTGTGGTGCTACTCATTGCAGGATTTATGTGTAGTTTTTTTGAGAAACTCTTCTTCAGTATAGAATATTAAATTGTGCATTAAAATATATAAGTTCTTGTAATACAAAATGAAGAATGTGTCATCTTCTGATTTCAGTTGAAAAGTTTAGGAATCTCAATCAGAGAGGGATAGAGGCAAGTCATGGTTAAACTACAGAATATATCATCGTAGGAGCTTATGCAAAATGTACCCCCAACATTCCAAATCATACCTAGGTATGGAACTCTACACATTTGCATGTTTAATGCTCTCCTCATGATCAGGTCTGTGATGTTGGTGGCTAGTAGGATCAGCAAGGACATCTTTTCTGGTTGGCTCACAGACATTTTGAACTAGTGGCTTCTACTCAGGTGGACTGGATGACTGCAGCATTTTATTATTCCTTGACAACTCTTCTGCTCATTGTCCAGCTAAAATTCTTATAAAAATAGTACATATGCCTTATCCTTTCCCTCTAGTGTGACTTTATTAATCCAGTCATGTGATCAGGGCAGGATATCCTCAGATCAATGAATGGTAAATATAAAGACTTTTTCTGGAGTAACACACTGGCAGCAGTGAAAGGAGGCATGGAGATAAAAGTCTTTCAGAAGGAATTTAATATGAAGGATTGTGCATGCTGTTGACAGTGCTTGGAGCACAGTGAACAAAGACATAGTTGTGTACACCTGACAAAACCTCTGGCCATGTCAGCATTTATTTACAATGATGATAATCGCTGTGACTGAAGTATTCTGTATGTCAAGTGAGGAAAAAGTAAGGTTTGACTTTACATAGCCAAAAATGTCTATCTTTAGATTTGTCAGTATGCTGGAAATGTATATACAGTGGTCCCTCACTTATTGTGGAGGTTATGTGCCAGACACTGCTGCAATAAGTGAAAATCAGCGAAGTAGCAATGTTGGATTTATTTTACTATTTATATATATTTTAAGGCCTTATAAATCCATTCCACACCTTTATAAACCTTTCCCACACTTTTAAAAACACTTCTAATGTTCTTACCCATTTTCTAAACTTGTAAACCTACTTAATTTTAACAACATACGTATACTGTATAGTGCTACAAAATCCGTCACTATAGTGAAAAATTTGCAATAAATAATTTAGATTATTTTTTGTGAAAACCTGCGAAACACTGAGTCTGCAAAAGTCAAACCACAAAATAGCGAGGGACTACTGTAGACCTGTTTGTGCATACCTGTAAGTGGACGCATGTGTTTTGCTGTGCTGGGGACTTGCATATGAACTTGCTCTGTCATTGAAGTACACTTTCAGCCTCTAGGAGAAGTTTTAAGCAATGATGCACAGGTTCCATTTTACTGACCAATGATTCTGAATCAAGGTGATCATGTTAATTGTATCAGTAAAGATGTTAACACTACAAAGAAAAGTATCTATAGGTGATGTGATGAAACTGTCATGGGCTTAGTGAAAAACTACAATAGCATATATTTGTAACAGAGCAAGAAATCAACCTACATAGTCCAAGTAAGACCTCAAGACACAGATTCTGGAGGTAACATTTGAGAAAGCCATCTAGCAGTATTCCTAAGCATTCCTGAATGATCTACTTCTGATCTTTCAACTGCTTCTGATGTTTCTTCTTATCTAAAAGTTAGAATTTTAATCAAGACACAGCATTGTGACCTAGACGGATAGCAGCTTTGTTTGCTGTTACTATTTAATCAGTAATGCAAGGATTCTGTTGATGCCACTGTTGCCTGGTCACCTGATACACTTTTCCACACTGCATAATATATCATAATTTGTACTCATAAGTACTTATGCATGAGTGGAATAAAATAAATGCTTATCTGTAGCGTATACATTCAAAATCAAGAGTAATGGCAATACCAGACAACCATAACATTGTTCATATGAGTGGCTGAAATAGTGATTCTTTTGCCCTCTGATATTTCAGTAACATAAGCTTTGTTACATGTAAAATTATTTTATTTATTTATTTATTTTTATTTATTACATTTATTTATTGTGTGTGTGTGGCCAGCTCAGCCCACCAGGGGGCGGGGCTGGCTGGCATGTGGTGCTGGAGGATTGAACCGCGGTCCTTGTGCTTTGCCAAGCTTGTTTCAAGTAGGTGCTTTAGACCACTGAGCCATCTCTCCAGCCCACATGTAAAATTATTAAAACTATTATATTAAGTTACCTTCAGGCTTTTTCCCATCTTGCAAGATGGCAGGTGACAAAACTGAGAAGCCAGGTACTAAAGAGAAGAAACCCGAAGGCTAGAAGGCTGATGCTAGTGCCACTGCTTAAAAAGGGTAATGGACAGGCTAAGAAGTCCAAGCAGGGAAAGCCCACTGCAGGTAAAATCCTGTTCTGGTTAGAGGAATTGTTACATACTTCCGATCTGCTATGTATTCCAGAAAGTTTTTGAACAAGAGAAAAATACATAGTTGTTAAATTGAAGGTTGAGAAGAAAAAGGAGAAGGTTCTTGCAAAACCGGTCAGTGGTGATAGGAATGGTGGTACCCAGGTAGTTAAGCTTTGGAAAATTCCTAGATACTATTTGAAGATGGATAGTATCATCTTACACTGAAGATGTGCCCCACAAACTGTTGAGCCACCGCAAGAAACTCTTCAGTCATCATGTGAGGAAACTTCAAGCTAGCCTCACTGCCAGCACCATCTTGATCATCTTTATCAGGCACCACAGAGCCAAGCGAGAAGTCTTCCTGAAGCAGCTCTCCAGTGGCTTGCTACATATGACTAGGCTTCTTAACCTTAATCACATTCCTTTGTGTAGAACTCACCAGAAATTTGTCTTTTCCACCTCCACAAAAATTGGTATCAGCAAAGATAATCCCCAAATACCTCACTGATGCTTATTTTAAGAAGAAGCTGCAGAAGCCCCAACACCAGGAGGGAGAGAGCTTCAATACCAAGAAAGAGAGATACCAGATCTCAGAGCAGTACCAAGTCAAATCAGAAAGCAGTGGACTCACAGATTTTACCAAAAATCAAAACTGTTCCTCAGATCTGGGGCTACTTGTGATCCATTTTTGCTCTGACAGATGGAATTTACCTTCATAAATTAGTGTTCTAAATTTCTTACTAAAAACTTAGTAACTGATACATTTGTTAAAAAGTTACCCTGAGGTTGTGTGCAGAAGGCATATTTGAAGCAAATTAATTTTTGTTTAGATATGAGTCATGCCCAAGATAATCTGTATATACATACAAGTGTTCCAAACTCTGATATCTGAAATGCTTCTGGTCCCAGTCATTTCAGGTAAGGTGTATTCAACCTGCAGTCTTGCCTTTGTGCCCATCCATACATTATGCTGTGCTTCTACCAAAGCTCCTTTGACATGTCTTATGTAAGGATTTACATTTCTACTCTTAGGGTCTGAAGATCAGAAATGATACATTTTTAGTTTTATCTGAATTATTTAGAATTATACATGACATATAATAAGTTGCTTACATGACAGACACTAAATTTAGGAACAGAACATTGTTCTTTACATCATCTGCACAGGGGTAGTTTTCCAACTTGCTTTTCTCCTTTGGAGGTGTTAAAAATAAACTGAGGCATAATAATACAATTTTAAAGAGTGTTTTTGATTCATGAACTCCAAAACAGTGAGGGATCCAGAGTAGCACTGAGGAAACCATTGAGTAAGAGTTTAAAAGTCACATATAGGGGCTGGTGAGATGGCTCAGTGGTCTAGAGCACCTACTTAGAACAAGCTAAAGCAAGCAGAACACAGGGACCATGGTTCAATCCCCCAGCACCACATGCCAGCCAGCCCCGCCCCCTGGTGGGCTGAGCTGGCCACACACACACACACACACACACACACACACACACACAATAAATAAATAAATAAAAAATTTTTTTAAAGTCACATATAGAAGTAAACCAAAAGAAATAATGTGATTGGTTACAGCGGCACAGTTGCCTTACTTTGTCAAAAGTCCCTAGTTCAGTAATTTTGAATTTGTTGGCTGATTTAGACTGAGTAAGCTTAAGTTCTGTTTTTCTTTAACATTGGCATTTATAAGAAGTAACTCAAGCTAGGTTTTATTTATGTTTTCAGATCACTTAAGGTTTAGATCATTTAAGAGGCCTGATTTTGTCTGCTCAGGGATTCTTCAGCCCTGGTCTCAACCTCACCTTACTTTAACAGAGAACAGAAACAGCATTTCTTGGTACATAAAAGGGAGACATAAGTTTTCTGATGCTCCATTCTATTTTATGTTCCATCAAATTTTAGGACACAGAAACATTTCTTTGCAAAACTGTAGCATATATAACATATCTTACTGCTTTCTATATACATGTTTGATTTCTTTTGGCCAAACTTCTTGCACTCAGAATTCTAGACTTGGAAAGATTGTTAGAAAACATATAGCTTAACAAGTTTGTTTCATACCCTAGTCTGTATTAGATTCATGAACTCTCCAACACTAAGAGGATTTTTGCTATTAATCCTTTTGTTTTTGTGTTTGTTTTTTAGGTGACAACACTTCAAGATGAAAAAAATTCACTGGTTTCTGAGAATGAGATGATGAATGAAAAACTTGACCAACTGGATGGCTCTTTTGATGATCCAAATATGGTGGTTGCAAAAAAGTATTTTCATGTTCAGTTACAATTAGAACAATTGCAGGAAGAAAACTTCAGGTATCACTCTTCACAGAAGTTATTTAGTAAGATTGTTTGTTAAACTAGTAGCTAAAAAAATTGTAAGTACTGTTGAGCATATAAGGACATAAATGACTCTTGTTTCATAGTACTTACAGTCTAAGGACATGTAATTAAAACAAATAAGCAGCAAACGAAGGTCATTGGCAAGCCATTCTTAGTTCAAAGGAGTGATTGCTAAATCCAGGAAAGATACGGAATTTTTCACAGAGGAAAGGCAATCCCAAAGTAACTGGAGAACAATGTAAATCTTATACTATAAAGATGATTTTCAATTTACAAAAGAGTTCCTCTTCAAGAGAACATTTCTAAGTGGGTTTCGTTTGCAAGAAGACAAAGTGAACCTTTTACAAACCTTTGACACAGATATACAAAGTAAAACATTAAAAATTGAAATCTCCACATCACCACTGCTTTTCCTCTTGCTTCTGGACATCCTGGGCTCTGATCAAACACTGTACTACATTATGGCACTGTACAGTAAGCACACAGCAGCACTACAGTGACAGTGTCCAGCAGTTGCATAAGGTACTTCTGTGATTTGTTCACATCTATGTAATGCAAGGACCTATATTATCTTTGAAAGTTTGCAATTTGAATGTTCTTAAGTTGGGAACTTACTGTATGTTAACTTTCATAGACATTGATTATCTCTGAACTTACACTGAGCTTTGTATTGTAAGATCTTAGCTAAATGCTAAGCATGTGTACCTTGCTTTTTAAAAAAATATATATATTTGGTACAGGGTCTCAAGCAGCTCAGACTCATAGTGATCCTTTTGCTTTCAGCGTCTCTAACACTGAGATTACAGGTGTGTGCCACCACGCCTGGACCCGGTTGCTGGCTCAGCGTGCTGTGGGGGCGGGGCCAGCATGGCATGCAGGACCTGGCATTGAACACTGGCCCCTGAGCTTGCCAAAGCTGGCACTTAGTCTGTTGAGCTATCTCGCTGGTCTAACTATTTTTTGATAACCTTTTTTACCTAGCAAACAAAAGTTGCAGTAATACTATAAGGATTTCTTTTTTCTTTCTTTTCTGAATTCTAGCGAAGGGTCTACAGGGTGTTCAGGGTCTCACTACTAGATAGGACTCATAGTGATTCTCCTGTTTACAGCCTCCCAAGTGCTGGGATTATAGACACGCGCCACCATGCCAAGTCTCAATCACCATCTCAGCGTGCCCCGGGGCGGGGCCGGCATGGCAGGCCCTGGGATCAAACCCCCGGTCTCTGCACATGCTTGCAGGTGCTTTAATCCACTGAGCTATTTGAACAGCCCAAGGATGTAATTTTTATACCTTTTACACTTGTTATAGTTGTTGCTGTTTGTTTTAGGATTTTGTATATTCACATAGATATACATATATTTTCTTGCTGGAGACAAAGTTGGAAATGGTCCTCTCTATTCCCTGTCTATTTCACTGTGTATTTATTAAAGATAAAAACATTTTCTGATAAACCATAGTACAATATTCAAAATTAGGAAATTTCTCATTCATACAATATTATTACTTAATTCACAGACCAATATTCAAGTTTTGTCACTTGTCTCAAAATCAGGTCTCTTGATAAACTATAAGCTTATTTATTTATTTTGCCTTAAAATCTGAGCTTTGATTGTGAATTATATTTAGGAATGGATTCTTCTTCAGCAGACTATAAATCTGTCACTCATTTTATTTTGATACTCAAACTACTTCAGATTTTGTCAATGAGAAACCTTTTAATTGGTGATATGTTATCTTTCTGAGGGCACTCTTACTTTCAATGAGCCTGCAACAAAATGTTCCAGGCTCATTGTCTTTAACCTATTATAATATGAGTTAATAATTTATCTCTTTATATGCTATACATATTTTAAAATAATTATGTCTATCTTATGCATTTTTTGTCTTTTAAAATTAAAATTTGTTAGATGTAGGATGTACAGTGTTTCAAAAGTAAGGTCAGTAAGTTTAATTTCTTAGTCTATTTGAAAATTAGAGCCAAAAGGTACCTTATTCCTTTAGTCTCCTGTTTCCAGCATAGAATTTAAATATATCATGCTTAGGTCATGTCTAAATAGGAAGACGAATGATAGAAATTATAAATTTCTTTGTTCAAGACTTGAAGCTGCAAAAGATGATTACCGTGTTCACTGTGAAGAACTTGAAAAGCAACTGATTGAATTTCAGCATAGGAACGATGAATTGACTAGTATTGCTGAAGAAACAAGAGCCCTGAAAGATGAAATTGATGTTCTTAGGTATGTCTTATCTAAATAATTATCTTATTTAGATAGATAAGATAGTTTAAGACTTATGTAAATTATGAGTTTGCTCATGGATTCTTAAGCTAGCCTTCTGTCTCAAATATTGATCAATTCTTCTATTCAGGCCTTCAGATTTCATATTGGAAACTAATCCAAAGATGAGACTTTTCTTTCTTTTTATTTGATTTTAAAGAGAAAAAAATAAAACAATAATGCTGTTTCTAAATAAGATAATAGATCAATAATGGTTAATATATTACCTATTATTATCTTTAAAGTAGTCACTCATTTTGGAAAATATAGTCATGAAAGATTGATCAAACAATGTAAGCACATATACTTTTTAATGAACTAATAGAAATTAGTAGTATATATGTCTTAGCTATCTTGTGAATATGTGTGTGTGTGTATATATATTTTTTTTTCTTTCTTCTTTTCTCATTTCTCCTATCCTAGTTGTTCTTTTCTTTTGAGCAGTTTTTCTCCTTTCACAATATCTATTGTACATTTTGGATCTTATTTACTCTTTTAGTTTCTTACACTAGGGAGACTATATGATGTTTATGCATGCAAAGCTGATATATTTCACTTGTGAGTATGGTCTGTAGTTGCATCCATTTACTTATAAAAGCTTGAGTTTATCTTTCTTTATAGCTGAGTAGTACTCCATTGTATAAAAATGCATCTTTTTTTTTTAACATATTTGGTACAGGGTCTCACTATGCAGCTTGGACTCATAGTGATCCTCCTGTTTTCAGCCTCCCCAGTGCTGAGATTACAGGTGTGTGCCACCATGCCCAGACTTGGTGGACCGTCTCAATGTACCCAGAGGCAGGGCTGGAGGGGCATGTGGTGCAGGGCATCAAATCTTGGTCCCTGTGCTTGCCTAAGCAGGCTCTTCATCATTTGAGCTATCTCACTGTCCCTTACCACATCTTTTTATCCATTTCTTGGTTGATGAGAATTTGGATTGTTTTGAAGATTTAGCTGTTACAAATTGTGCTGCTATAAACATGGGTGCATATATATTGCTGTAATATGATGTCTTTATTTTAGGAAAGCACCCAGAAAGCTAGATCCAGTGGTACCTTTAATCCTAGTATTTTAAGGAATATACATACTGATTTCCACAATGGTTGTACCAGTCTCCATTCTCAACAACAGTAGCCTCTCCAGCATTTATTGTTGGTTGGTTTCATGATGATGAGAGTACAATGAAGTCTTAGTGTTGTTTAATATGCATTTCTTGAGTGACTAATGATTTTGAAATTTTTTCATATATTTATTTGCTGTTTATATTTCTGCATCTGAGAAGTGTGTATTCATCTCAGATGCCCATTTTTGGATTGGGTCTTTAAATTTTGGAGACCTAATTTTTTTCAGTTCTTTATGTGTTTTAGATATAAGTCCTTATTCTGAGAGACAGTTGGCTACATTTTTCCCACTCTGGCTTTTCTTTTCACTCTGTTGATGATTTCTTTTGCTGTGGAAAAACTTTTCAATAACATGAGATCCCATTTGTTGATTCTTTGAAGTATTTTCCACAGGATTTGGGTTTTGTTCATGAACTCTATACCTATTGCTGTGTTTTCAAGATTTCTGCTTACAGTGTCTTCCAGTAGATTTAGGGTTTCTGTTTTAATATTTAGATCTTTGCTGCATTTCTTTTTTCTTAATTTTTATGTAGTTCATACAGTCTGCAGGGTCTCACTACACAGATTGGATTTGTAGTGATCCTCCTGTTTTCAGCCTCCCAGACACTGAGATTACAGGCGTGCGCCACCCCACCCAATCTCAAGCTCTGTCTCAATGCACCCTGGGGATGGGGCCTGCCACAGCTTGTGGTGCCGGGGATCAAATCCTGTTCACTGACTCTGCCTAAGCAGGCTCTTTGCTGCATTTCATCTTTAGTTTATTGGATTTTTCTTAGCATTTTGTAAATAACACATTTACCTTGACCTTGTACCCATTATTATATTTTGAAAAGCTTTTTGCATGATGTGTATGATCATAAGTTATATTTTAGCATTTGATATAAAAATCTTCCTATTTCATGGAGGATTTTCTTGGTAATATAAAGTTTAGATTTAATTTTTGCTATTGTAATAACATTACCCAATGAAGAGACTAGACAGATAACTGTATTTTCTGTTAAATTATGATTATGATTATGATTATTTTCATACAGGATCTACAGATTCTCATTACACAGATCAGTCTTGTAGTGATCCTCCTGTTTTCAGCCTCCCAGGCTCTGGGATTATAGGCGCGCACCACCACGCCCAGTCTCAATCACCATCTCAGCACATCCTGGGGTCAGGGCCCACATGGCATGTGGTGCAGGGGTTCCTGAGCCTGCCTAAGTGGGCACTTTAGTTTGCTGAGCTATCTGGCTGGTCCCTGTTAAATTATTTAGTTAGCTATTTTTGCAGATTCTAACAAAACTTTTGCAATAATATATTGTAACAAAATCTATTTGGACCCATACACATTAGTGATATATTTATCTTGTGGAATTCTAAAGAAAAGTTGTATGTCAGATAAATTTTAAATTGAGCCAGCTTGCTTTCTTTTTTTTTTTTTTTTTTTTTTTTTTTTTTTTTTTTTTTTTTTTTTTTTTTTTTTTTTGTATTTTTAGTGAAGGGCCTACAGGGTGTTCAGGGTCTCACTACTAGATCGGACTCATAGTGATCCACCTGTTTACAGCCTCCCAAGACCTGGGGTTACAGGCGCATGCCACTATGCCTAGTCTCAATTGCCATCTCAGTGTACCCCGGAGGCGGAGCCAGCACGGCAGGCCCAGAGATTGAACCCCTGGCCCCTGCACCTCCTTGGCAAGCAAATCTGCTGAGCTATTTGGCTGGCCCTTGAGCCAGCTTTCTAAGTATATCAAACACTTACAATAAAACTATGCTAAATGATATATGAAGCAAAGTTTTCCTATAAACTATAGAATGGCTTTTAGCTTGCTCAGTTATATGTCTTAAGTTATTCCTTTTGTATATTTTGTGCTAAAAACAGATCAATTTATGAAATTTGAGGTCCTTTAAATTTTGATGTCTTTATAACAAAAATTGAACTTCAGATGGCACAAGTATGTTATAGCTTGGAAAATTCATTTTACAGCCAGAAGAAAATTGATATGTGCATATGTCAAATTTATAAAATAATGCTTCATCTCTATTATGACAGGACTACCTCTGATAAAGTAAATAAGCTGGAATCAACAGTTGAGATATATCGTCAGAAGCTACAAGATCTAAATGATCTCCGCAAGCAAGTGAAAACTTTACAGGATACAAACATGATGTATATGCATAATACAGTCAGCTTAGAAGAAGAATTAAAGAAGGCAAATGCAGCACGTACACAGTTAGAAACATACAAAAGGCAGGTAAGAAAATATCTTAGTTATTTAAATGATATAATTGAAAGAGTTCAGCATTATAAATTGCATTTGGTTCTTTAAGAATGATATAGATGGGCTGGCGAGATAGCTCAGTGGACTAAGCGCCTGCTTACGCAAGTGCAAATGCAGAGACCAGGGTTCAATCTCTGGCACCACATGCTACATTGCCCACCCACCCGCCCAGCATGCTGAGCTGGCCACTGAGAGCCAGTGTGGTCACACACACCTGTAATCCCAGTACTGGGGAGCCTGAAAACAGGAGGATCACTGTGAGTCTGAGCTTCATAGTGAGATCCTGCAACAACCAAATACATTTAAAAAAATGATACAGAAAAAGAAGCATTTCAGGTAATAATCTGTAAATTGCTGATATATTTCTTCTATCTGTAATTTTTTTTCTTTAGGGGATGGTCTACAGGTTGTTTAGGGTCTTACTAATAGATTAGACTCATAGTGATCCACCTGTTTATAGCGTCCCAAGAGCTGGGATTACAGGTGTGTGCGCCACCATGCCCAGTCTCAATTGCCGTCTCAGCGTGTCCTGGGGGCAGGGCTGGCACGAAAGGCCAGGGATCAAATTCCTGGCCCCTATGCCTGCTTGCAGGCACTTTAATCTGCTGAGTTATTTGGCTGGTTGGCCCTTTTGTAATTTTAATACAAAGTTTGATAAAAAGAGTTTGACATATCTGGGCCTTTAAACTTTTACTGCCTTCTAAGTTTAAATTTTTAATTATTTGTGCATTTCTGATAATCAGTAATAAATGCCTAGAAGATGATAGAAAATGGAACAGTAACCTCAAATACTCTGTTCTTCTATACATTAGACAACCTAGAAAAACAGAAGGCTGCTTTTTTTTTTTTTTAACGTTCTTGGTTTAATTATTTCAGATTTTATGTTCTTTTTAATCTACATGCTAATCTCAAATACATAAGATTATAATTTTAATATATATATTTTATTTCCAGTCATTTTTTAAAAAATTTTCTTGTCTCTAAAAGACCAAAAATATTATATACTATTATTTACTTTTTTTCTGACCAAAGGTTCAGGACCTGCACATTAAACTTTCTTCTGAATCCAGAAGGGCAGATACTCTTGCATTTGAAATGAAGCAGCTTAAAGAAAAACATGAAGCTTTACTTAAGGAAAAAGAGGTGATCATAACTATATTTGATACCTTTGCTCTTAGAATAGTACTATCTACTAATTTTCTGTTGAAATTGAACTTGATATGAAAAGTTCTATAAAGAGTACCATCATCCTTTTAGATTTTTTATATTTATTTTATTTTTGATAAGGTGTGCATATTAATGTGCTTCAGTATGGTATTCCAGCTTACACAGAGTATACACTGGTCACTTTAGGGCTCCTTTATCAATCTCCTTCACCTTTTAGCTTAAAATCACTGGCTACATTCATGACCATTCTCCTTAGGTTATATATATGAGATAGAATTTGTGGCACTTGACTTTTGTCTTACTTTACAAAATGTCCTCCAGTGTCATTCAAGCTACAAGTGATAGGATTTCATTTGACTTTTATCAGTATATGTTTTTGATACATAGTACTTTGTGGTTATATACTATTTAATGATCATTTTTTTGTCACCTTGCTCTCATCCCCTCCTGTCTTCCTCTCTTTCTTTCTATGGAATCCTTTCCCCATTTCTGAAAATTCTATCTCCCTGTTTCTGATTATTTCTGCTCTGTTTTGCTCTTTAAATTACTTATATTTTGGGTCTTTATCCCCTTGCAATACTTAACCACCTGTGTCTGACTTATTTTACTTATTTTTATAGTTTTAGATCCAGCCATTTTCCTACCACTGGCTCAAATTTACTTATCTTTGTGGCAGAGTGATACCCCACTGTGTGTATGCATATATCACAAATTTAACTCTTTCAGGAAGATACCCTAGCTGAGTCAAATGGCATTTCTATTTTTAGACTTTTGAAGAATCTTCATACTGAATTCCGAAGTCATTGTACTAGTTTACATTCCCACAAACAATGTAGAAGGGTTGTCTTTTCAACCACATCCTTGCTAGCATTTGTTATTTTTGAGTCCTTGATGATACTAAATAAAATGGAACCTCAGTGTTGTTTGATTTGTGCTTCCCTCGTTATCAGAGATGCTGAACATTTTTTCATGTAGTTATTGACCATTTGTACCTATTTTGAAAAATATCTATTCATTTTATTGAACCAGTTTTTGATTGGGTCTTTTGGTTTTAGAAAGCTAACCTTTTTATGTTCTTTATATTTCTAGATATTAGTTCTCTGTCTGTGGAGTATCTAACAATTTTTTTTCAATCTGTATCAGTTTCCTCACTACTGATTCTTTCCTTTGCTGTGTAGAAGCTTTACAATTAGATATAATCCTGTTGTTGATTTTTGGCATTTTTGCTTGTGCAGTTAGAGTTCTTTTCACCAAGTCCTTTTTTTTTTTTTTTTTTTTTTTTTTGCCTCTTTTATCTTCCAGCAAGTTCTGTATTTCTTTTTCTGTGTCTAGGTCTTTAATTCATTTGGACTTGATTACACTATAAGAGAAGAAAGAGTAGTCTAACTTCATTCTTTTGCGTGTGCATAACTAATTTTTGAAGTTTTTGTTGAAGAGGCTAATTTTTCTCCAGCATTATTTTTAGTACCTTTCTCAAAAATCAGATGGTTAAAGGTGCATGAGGCTATTTGCATGTCTTGTATTCCGTGTGTCTGTATGTCTATTTTTGTGTCAGTACCATAGTGTTTTTAGTTCTCATAGCTTTGTAGTATAACTTGAAATCTAGGATTTTTTTTTTTTTGCAGTGAAAATATTTGCATTTATTTTCCTTAAAATCAACTAGCAGGATATCATTAAAGACTAACTGAGACCTTCAGACATTCTTTGGATCTAATGCATAATTACAGTAATCACGTTCACACCTATATAAAAATTCAAAATGAGAAAGTTACTCTTAAAATCATGTGTCAGTAAAACCTGCCTGGAACTTGTTATACAATATACGTGACATATATTGTAACACAAAATTTCTTGTAACACAAAATTTCTCATAACACACATGAAAAACAGAATAATTTATATTTATAAAAAGTACTATTGTTTTATGAACAAAACTCAGAAAAAGTGACCAGAGTATGATAGGGCAACTAATGCCCTGGTTTCTCAAAATCCTTCACAAAAGGAGGTAAGAGTCATAAATTAGGAGTTCAAGGTTTGGTTTTTAAATGTCATTTTTTCTTCTTTTTCTTTTCATCTGCTTCCAGCTTGAGCTTAACTTCTTCAGCTGTAAGAGCTCCAAGTTTCTTATTCTTTGCTTTCTTAACCTTTTCTTTAATGGCAGCCACATCAATTTTAGTTTCAGTGGAAGCTTCTTTCGGTTTTTTAACTGGCTTTTCTTTAGGTGGAATAAATGCTTTATTTCTTTCTTCTTGTCTCTTACTGAGCGCTTCTGCTTGTTTAGCCTTTATGGCTTCCATTTTCTGCCGCTTCTTCTGATTTGCCTTCAAAAAGTATTCTCCACTGGCCAATTCTTTGTCAATCTGGCTTTCTGGCTGTGGTGGTGGGAATGGTGTGTACTCTTTCTTAGCAGTTTTCTTCTTTGGTTCTTTGCGTTTGTTCACGTTTTTATGTTTGAACTGTGGCAAAAATCTTTCCCAACTTTGTGATCGTAATTCAGAATCTTTCGCCAATTCTCGTTTTATCATTAAGGTTTTAATATTATAAATTGGATGTATATTCTTCATGGTATCTAAAACTACTTTTCGAACCTCTTTTAAACCACTAAAAGGTCCAATGGCTGAGACTGTATTTCCCTGAACCATAACATAACAGTTCGTTAAGAGTTCCAAAGCCTTCAAAGTAGATCCTTTGGGACCAATAAGTCGCTGTCTTCTTTTTACAAGTCTTTCTTTATTTCTTACTAAAGAACCTATTTTGATGATGTCACATGCAATATCATCCTGAAGAATCCGTACTGCCTGCTCAAATGAAACACTTCTTGCTAACAGTTTTATCAGGTCTCTGGCCCTGATGATGATGTAGGGATCAAAGGTCTTCTTTGTAGTACAGACAGTCATGCTGCCCTCAATCAAGTCCAGGGTGGCCTTGATGTGGTGTTCATTCAAGGCCTTCTGCACTAAGGGCCAACACTCTTTCAAGTAGGCCGCTCTATATTTTGGGAACAAAGCTGCAAAACTGCTTTCCTCCAAGAGTCCTCTGGGATTGCCCTCTTTAGAAAAAGCTGGTTCCTTCCAACCATCAGGTACAGTGAGGAGTTCTGATTCATCTCGGTTCTCTGGCTTAGGTTTCAGGGTGCGAAATCCATTTCTCTCAGCTGCTACCAATGGTGTGTTTTACGCGGCGGACGCCATTTTCAAACCCGAAATCTAGGATTTTGATGTCTCCTGTTTTTCTCCTTTTATGTAGGATTGCTTTGGCTATTCTGGATCTTTTTTGGTTCCATTTAAATTTTAGGATTAGATTTTTTTTAGTTCTATAAAATTACTGTTGCTATTTTAACTGAAATTGTGCTAAATCTATATCTCCTTTTTAATAATGTAGGCATTTTGATAAAAATGATTTTTGCCATTCCAAAACCAGATACCTTTCCATTTTCTAATGTCCTTTTCAACCACTCTTCAGAGTACTGTAGTTTTTGTTATAGAAATCTTTCATCTCCTGAGTTAGATTGATTCATGTGTGTGTGTGTTTATATGTGTATGCATGCATATATGTATATGTGTATGTATGTAATTTTATGGAGTCATTTTCCTGATTTTTTTCATGATAAGGTCACTAACTTCTTTTTCTTGCCTGATTGTTACAGCTGAATTTTTGAGTACTGTATTGAATAGGAGTGATGAGAGGGGGCACCCTTTTTTACTCTTGATTTTAAGGGGAATACTTTTAAATTTTTCTCCTTTCAGCATGATGTTGGCTGAGGATTGGCCATAAATGACTTTTATTCATTCCATACCTATTTTCAGTAGGGTTTTTCTGTATCATGAATGGGTGCAAGGTTTTATCAAGGACTTTTTGTGCATCTGTTGAAATGTTTTAAGTCCTTTGTATTCTACTTATATAACTTACTATATTTCTTGATGTACATATATTGTACCATCCTTACATCATTATGATGGAGCTGGCTTGATCATAATACATGATCTTTTAAAGGCTTGGTTGGATTCTATTTACAACTTGATTGTTGCATGTCTTCCTCTAGGATATCTCCATTAAGTTTATTTTATTTTTTTCATGAATCCTTGTCTGGCTTTGGTAAGATGGCAATGTTGACTTGAAGAATGAGCTTTGCAGTGTTCTTTTCCTTTGAATTTAATGGAAGAATTTGGGGAGTATAGATATTAATGCTTCTCTGAAGTTCTAATGAAACTCAGCAGTGAGTCCATTAGGACATGGGCTTTTGTTGCTGTTGTTGGTAGTTTTTAATTACTTCCTCAGTTTTATTGCATATTATTTAAATACAACATATTCATATCCTTGTGGTTTTATTTTAACAATTCATATGTACATTGGAATTTCTCCATTTCATCTAGAGCTTCACATTTATTAGAATATAAAGTTTTAAAAATAGTTTCTTTAATCCTCTGGATTTCAGTGCTGTTTGGTTTTTCACTATGATTTTGTCATTTTCATTTCTTTTTTAAAGATTTTATGTATTTGGTACAAGGTCTCACTATGCAGGTCAGACTCATAGTGATCCTTCTGTTTCAGCCCCAGCACTGGGTTTACAGGGGCATGTGCCACAAAACCCAGTTTTGGTGGCTGATTCAGGATGCCCAGGTTGGGGACGGCACAATATGCAGTGCCTGGGATTGAACCTAGGTCCCTGTGCTTTCCAGGCAGGTGCTTAGACCACTGATCTATCTCCCCAGGCTATCATTTTCAGTTCTTTTAAAAACTTTTTGTTATTTCTTAAAGAGAATACAAAATGATAAAAAAAAAAAGAGGAGAAACTATACAGAATTTCATTGAACAAAATAATAGATATTTGATAATTGTTGTATTGCATAATGTTATGTTTAAATTAGTTAGATTGCCAGTTATGAAAATGAAAAATTGATTTAAAAAGTAATAAAAATTTATAAAGATAAAAACTTTAAGCATTAAGAAGAGAAAAAGTACAATCAATTGAGAAAAGGAGACAAAATAAATTAAGAATTATCTGTTCCTTTCCATAGGTCAGCAGAAATACACAGTACAGTAGTCCAAACCATCCGGCTTACATACATAGATAAATCTCTTTCCCCACTCCCTCTCTTGTCCTCCTCCTTAACTCAGTAACTCTTTCCTTTTGAATAAGTTCATTCCCTTTTCATAGTATCTATTGTACCCTTTAGATTTCATTTTCTCTTTCAGTTTCTCACACTATGAAGACAATACAATGTTTGCACATGCGGGTCTGATTTGATGGATAAAGAGATGCTATTTTTACACAATGCAATATTATTCAGGTATAAAGTAGGATAAATTTGAGTCTTCTGTTGATAAATGGATACAAGTAGAGAACACACTGTTAAGTAAAATAAATCAGACATCCATTATTCCTATGGGCACAAGAAAGAAAGAACATCCTTATGGCTACAGTTCTCTAAATACATCTGATAGTTTGTGCCATATGATTTCTGTCTCTCACAATGAGTTATTAATGGGGAAACACCAACTGAGTACTCCTTTCCATAGACCAATAGAAATCTGCAGTACGATTAGCGAAGTTACCTCATGTATGTGTATAAAAAAAACTTTTTTTGGCTGGCTCAGCCCACCCTGAGGGCAGGGCTGACATAACATGCGGTGCAGGAGATTGAATTGCAGTCCCCTAGTGCTTGCCTAAGCTTGCCTAAGCAGATGCTTTAAACCACTTAAACCACTGAGCTATCTTACTGGCCTGTGTGTGTGTGTGTGTGTGTGTGTGTCTTTTCCCTTCATTTTTCCTTTTCTTCATTCCTGGTTTTCCTTCTCTTTGAACAGATTCTTTCACAGTATCTATTGTATCTTTCAGATTTTAATTACTCTTTCAGGGTTTTACACTAGTAAGACAATATGATGTTTGTACATGCATGTCTGATTTACTTATCGTTATGGTCTCTAGTTACATCTGTTTACCTATAAAAACCTTGAGTTTATCTTTTTTAAAAGCTGAATAAATACTGAATTGTATAGAAATACCTTATCTTTTTTATCCATTCCTTGGTTGATGGGCATTTGGGCATTTGGTTTGTTTACAAGATTTAGCTACAATAAATTGTGCTGCTATAGAGATAGGTGCACATAAATCACTGTGGTATGATATTTTCAGTTCATTTGGAAAAATATCCAGGAGGGAATATCTGGATTGAATGGAACTTCTAGCTTTTGAAGAATTTCCACACTGATTTCCTTATTAGTGGTACTATTCTGCAGTCCCACTAACAGTGGAGAAGGGTTCCTTTTCCCCATAACCCCTCCAGTATTTTTTATTGGTTGGCTTCTTGATGATAGCCATTCTTTCTGGGGTAAGATGGAATCTCGTTGTTTTAATTTTCATCTTTTGAATGACACAATGATTTTGAACATTTTTTCATGTATTTATTTGCCATTTGCATTTCTTAATTTGTAGAGTATATATTCATCTCAGTTGCACATTTTTGGATTGGGTCTTTGAATTTGGTTGGCCTGATATTTATAAATTGTTTATATGTTCAAGATAGAAGTCCTTTGTCTGAGGAACAGTTGGCTATAATTTTTTTTCCAATTTATAGGTTTTATTTTCACTCTGTTGGTGATTTCTTTTTTTTTTCTTTTCAAAGTTTTATTGATTAAACATATAGCAATGAGACACTTTCAAATCAAATCGAAAGTACAGTTTCAACAAATAATATACTGCATATATTCTTCTTAGTGGTTAA